ACGGACGACGGCAGATATGGAATTCCATACTCAGGGCTCTACAAACCTGAAAAATGCAATGGACTTAACGGAATAGTCCGTCCCCGTAACCGTGTAGGTTTGACCTTGGGAACGCCTCCTTAAATCGCAAAGGACTCTCTCATTAGGGATGCCAAAAAGTCAAAAAGAGAAGGAAGAGAGAAAATGTTTTAAATTATCAACAGAATGGCGGTCACGTGGATTACGAACTTCAGTAACTGTTATACTGAGCGTGATCATACGAAGATTTAAGACATACATATCATATCGATCAAACGTCAACGAATAGAAAAACACTGTCGGCATGTCTGTTTTTAGCAAAATTGTCATCACACGAGACCAAGATCGACCACGTGAAATGGACATGCAGATAGTTTATGGGGCTCGAACTTGGTCCTAAATTGTGATAGGCTCGATTTCCGACGAGCTGAGGACTGCTCCGTTGTGGGGATTCTGCAGTGTGAGCGGGGGGGGGGAGCAGGGAATTACCCGAGACGTGTGGGCATGCCATGGAGGTACCACTCTTGTATGTGGTTTCGCGGTCCGTCTTGATGCCGGCGCTCAGAATGGAGCTCCCCGGGGCAAAGATGTCCACGCAGGTGCCATAATTGGAGAAGTAGGAGCGGGCATCAGTGTCCGTCGTGGAGCCGACCGTGATGGCCTGCCAACAGAAAGCCAGCAATTTAAGGGACTTACGGACTGATTCATGAGTAACTATGATCAAAGCAATCGAAGATCTGTTGATGTTACAACAGTCTAAGCCTATGCTGACTGCATAATCATACCCTTTACGTAAGAGCAGAAACATATAGTGCTGTGTCATTCCCATCAAGGTTCCGGGATCATGAGAAAGCAACACCAAAGAAGAAACTTGACGAGAACTGTACTCAGGTCTAAATAATTTATGAACTCCAGAACTCACATTTTGAAGAACATAATACAGAAATAAACCGAACTAGGTGGTCGCTGTCGACGGTTCCCTCAGACCAACTACGCCGAGCGCAGGAACGTGGCCAAAATATAAAGACATTATTACGTAATCTAACAAATGAATAGGCAATTCCACCTAAGCTTGTGTGTTAAAAAAACGTGAAGAATGTTTCACAGCAAAAGCTAGCTCCAATTGTTCACCCACTAATTTTCAATTAAATAGACCGATTGCGCCCTCTAAGTCACGTGACCCAAAGTGCGTATCAAACATCAACAAACATGACGTCCTGCCACAGCAAAGTGAATCGTAAATCTTGTTTACCAAAATTAAAGCCTGTTTTGGGTATAGTACTCGGCGTATCTTTAATCAGATTACTGTACCCCCTGTCCGATTATTTTCGGCATATCACACTCATGACACACTCTCATGCAGCGAAGTTTGTTGATGTTTCATACACACTATATGTCACATGACTTAGTGGCCGCAATCGGTCTATACCGGTATTGTGTGATTTGATGGCTGTTGAAGGACTCGAAGGGTCGCTGGAACACGGAAAGAGTTTTTAAATTAATAATTCTTTGCCTTCAATGCACTTTGGGTTTATAAAGTGCAAGTATAAATACATTGTAAAACTGCCTAGTAAGGTACAATCCTGAAATTCCTGAGATTTCCCCTCGGGGCAACTGGTGTGTTGTGGTTCTTTAAAAGCTTTAGCGTATCCAGTTCATAAATTACGGCAACACGCACCTGCATGCACGCACCACCGATTTCTATAGCGTTCATAAATATCGCGCTTTGTATCGGTTGTATCCTTTTTATCGTTCGAGTAGAATTGGTGAAGTTGCAGTCACTTACTAACCGGATAGATGGTATGGGTGCAGCGCACAAATTCAAGGGCAACTTTTTGCCGAGCTCATTAGCATAAACAGCGGCCCGGAGGTTTTTTTTATTAAAATTATTTGGCAGAACAAATGGAGGGATTGTGGAAACATATGTCAGGATCAACTCCCTGGGTTTGGGCGCTTCCATCCGAGGGCAGACTTGACAGAATACGCTCGACTCGAAATAGTGCGCCGCCAAGAGTTTGTAACGCGTCGACCCAATGCGCGTTTGGATTGGAAAGGGTGGACGGATTTCACCCGTCGTGAGTGGCCAACACGTTTCAAACTCGTCGAGGCGCACAACTGTGAATCGTCCATACCACGGACGGAAAGCTGTCCTCAGTGCCTGAGAAAGTAGAGGGAAGCCATGATTTTTAAAGACAGGTTGCGAGCAGGTTCAGGTACTATCACTTTTCGAAAGGTGCGTTTGTTTTACGTGAATAATTAATAATGTAACTATTTTGTAATTAACTTTTGTTGGAGAACTCCAATAATTGAGCCTGAGCTTTAGTGATATTACTCTGTTTTCAATGGGGCTTGAATTAGTTCACTGCACCCACTAGACTTGCTCTTTTTACCTTGGGCGCGCTAGCGGGCGAGTTCCAGCACGCCGGCCAGTCGTCGTTTCCCGCTGATACCACCACTGTAATGCCTGCGTTGTGCATCCTAGAAACTGCATTGTTGATGGACTCGATCTTACCCCCGCCTAGGGACATGGAGGCAACCGATGGACCACTGGCGTGACCTATGACCCAGTCCATACCTGCATTAAACCACGGAGAAAGGAAAAGGGTAAGCCATGCAGTCAAATCACATTTTGTATAGAGGGCCTATATGGCTGCCATCTTGCAGACCAGTGCTTTTGTTTGTACAAAGGAGGTTTCCCTGTGGAAGGAAAGAACTGCCCTACAAGATGGCAACCACGCAAAGCCTCTGTACACTCCTGCGAATAGCCTCTGTCTTAAAATTAATCTGTTGTGACGTAGGAACATCAAAATGCTGGGGAAAAGCAGAGTTGTAAAGACTCGAGTCAGTGACTCGACTCGAGTTACAGTTACATGTATTTACAACTCGACTCGAGTCTGGACTTGGGTCACCCCTGCTCGCCGCCACCAAGTGATTCGACTCTACATAAAAGAGTCCGAATCAGAAGACTTGACTCGAGTCAAAGCTAATAAGATTCGAGTCCCGATTCAGAAAACAGCTTTGTGAGAAATATTTGCAATTACTTACAGTGCTGGTTTGTCGTGTTCGCCCCTTGTCACGAATACGGCATGATCCTACCCTAATTTTTTGTTGAGTCAAATTCGCTTCACTTTCGCATTCGCCTGTAGTATGAACGAGCCTCCTTATGGAAGCCAAGCAAATTTGACATCACAGAAGATGTGCAGCGGAATTTCGCTTGACTTGAAATGTGTTTAACTTATTGCGAATTGGTATTATTCGAATTCGTGATTTTTATTTTGATTTGCCCTAGCAAATCCGCGTTAGTGTTCGCTTTTGCGTGAAATACGAACCAACCTTTAAAGTCGTGTAATATAAAGCTGCGGTCAATTCATTATGTCATGGCCACTGTGGGCATACCTTCCTGGACGCCTGACCAAGTCCCAGACCCGGAGCAGCTCAGAACCCGGACAGACCAGATGGTTGCTTTCTTAGCCACCCCATACGTCTTGCCCGCGATGGTGCCGGCGCAGTGCGTGCCGTGGCCGCGACAGTCCCGAGCGCCCCAGCCGTCGTCGAAGACGTCGTGCCCGAGGTGGGCGCGGCCTTCGAACTCCTCGTGGGTGTGTCGAACTCCCGTGTCAATGACGTAGACACTTACACCCTCCCCGTCGCCTGTTGATAAGTTATGGGATGGAAGTTCTAAGCTGTTTTCAATTTTGAATTTTTGTTGAAATTCGTATTGGTGGTGCAAGGAGATAAAAACTGACAGCAATTCCATCCCAACTACAGTGTATAATTATGCACGCTAATGAGCCTGAAGAACTAACGAGGTGACTCCCCTCCGTCTTAACTTGTCTGGCGGGAAATTTCGTTAAGTACTTAAATGTGAATGATTATGGCAACGTAAATGAACACTCAATGATCCTGATTTTGCAGACTTCGAGTTCCAAATCTTTTTGACCGGGCAGGTTGTTACCAACACGCTGTTGTCAAATTTTATTAAAAATGCCACGTTGATATGTACAGACCACCTAAACAGACAAATCGCCTATTTTTACCTGTTGGAGAGTAGTTCCCATCGAGAGGCAGGTCATCTTGGTCAATGCGGTCTAGTCCCCACGATCCTACCTCTGTTTCGTGGACTACGCCATCCTGTTCGACGTACTCAACACCATCGATGGCCCGAACCTGACCAAAGTTGAAAATCCACCTCATTGAAAATTTAGATCTGTATCACCCATTTCAAACAGGCGTTCTGGAGTTGCGCCGACCCAAATCAAAAGCAAATCTTGAATTAAGTACGAGCAAAAGTTCGACGTCTGAAACACTGGGAGCGACCAGGCGTGCCAGCAGGCGAAGATCGAAACTTCACGGCGCTCGGAATGACACCGGAGCATTTTGGTTTCAGACGTCGCTCTTTTCATGGGCCAAACCCACTGTAAATGTGTATTTTAAGTTTGTCCGAAACTAAACTTTAATTGGGTCGACACGAGTCCCTCTTAGTTCTGTTTGGTTCGGCGCCACCCTAGAACGCACGTACGAAACGGGTTTTAACTCGGTGAAACTCCATTACATTTTTCCTATCTCGCTGACAAAATATGCCATGGACAATCTTTGCGTGGCGCGATCCAATGAGAGAGTAGCAACAGCTTAAGTTGTGAATAATTGGAAATCCCCAGAAGCTGTTTACTATGCGTGGCGTGCCTGCAAAGAAGAAGCTCCGCCCCATCCACACATTAAACCTATCAGAACGACGCAGAGAATGGTCCATAAATCGTGAACATGATCGCTCCATCACTGCCAGTTATTCCTAGACTCCTTCGAAATTAAAAAAAAACAAAAAACAAAAAAAACATTCCAAGACATTCCAAGAGAAAATGCGCTGTATATGCTCTCAGAGAAAGCACTTTAATGAATAAAATGTAAATTTGAGCGGAGAATTAACATACAGCTTTCTGACTGGTTGACATGCTGGTCGAAAGGAGAAAGGAGTGGAGTTACCTTGAACTGATCTACCCAGGTTTAAACAGATTCTACCATTTGAAAAGGCGGTATGAACAAATATATCGCTGGCAAAAATCGCCAATTCTTTTCAGTCGATACTGGAAAGAGTCTGGAAAGTTGTTCGTGACCGGGTAGGTACACTAACCAAGTCTACTTTGTCGTCCGGGATGTCCACAAATATGGCATTCAAGAAGTTGGTAGTTCTCCTGACAGCATTGGGGTATCCAGCTCTTCCCAGCTGCTCGTGAAATCCGCTTTTGTAAAAACCTCGTGAAACGCTGTCCTGTTGAAAGTGAAAACAAGACGTGAGCGAGATTGTGCTGTTTTGGTATTTGGGAAACAGCGGTCGCAGCGTAAATTTGTGTCTGAAATTGGGGGGATTGGGGATGGGGAAAGGTGGGGAGGGGCATGCGTGTTTGAAAAGCGGGGGCGGGGGTACACAATATGACTCTATATAGAAGTCGATGTTCATGATATTAATGTTCATCTGTAATATGTATTCAGAATGCCATTTTTATGGCTTTTTAAATTGTCCTCCTATTTTGAGTGATACTGACTACATTTTAGTCGTTGGAAGTCTGAAATATTCTTCACCATTCACTTGATTTTTTGCTCAACACAAAAAGTGGGTGTGTGTGGAAGGATGATTCAATAGCCCATCCCCCATCTCAAAAAGTGTGGGGGGAATATATCCCCATCCACTTGGGATTTACGTCCATGAACAGCAGAGTTCACCGGCTCCGAATAACATTGTTCAGCCTCCAAAGTTTCATTTAAAGAGGAAATGAGGACTCCTGTAAATAGGCACGAAAGATGTGACCAATTAATGTAATTGCTACATTTTAAAGAAGAAAGATATTTAAGAAACTCCAAAACATTTAAGACTTGCCTTTATTTTGACGATGTACCTGTTGGGAAGTGGTTCCGTGGTTTGGTATAATGGCGCAAGCGGCTCGCCAACTACCAGGATGAGGCACATACACAGTAGAATAAAGGTTCTCATGGTGGGCCTATAAAATAAATGATTTACCGCAAAGAAGAGACATTTGTTTGATTTGTTTTCCAGGTGAAAAAAATATGCAGAGGCACAGTCCATCCCAGTTTTCCTCCTACTGTTGCAGTATTCGGTGTCTAGGCAGAATCCGACCTCCTTTAAATCTCATCGATATAACAAATCATCTCAGCCATATAACAACAGTTTCGACTAAATATAACGCTTGTTTTTCAAATTAATGGTCTGATGCGTCTCTGAAGTTTCATTTCATGTATCCACTGTCGGTTACCCTATGGGGTGTGAACGAGAACCCCTCTTTAAGCATTGACACTGAGAGAGTCGCAATTTCGTCGGTTGCACCACGAAGTGACGCACCCGTCCCGTACATAGACTTTGTACACACGATGCGACTGCTCGTGGTTCAGCAACTGTCCACGGTGTGGTTGTTCAGTTCGTGATGCAACCCACAGATTATAGAAGTGTTGAATAATAATATTGGGTCCTAAATGTGATGCCTCCAATAGGCAGGAGCCCCAAGCCAATACGTCAGTAGGAGGAAAAGGCAAAAGGTTGGCAGGAGCGCAGGAAAGTCAAGATCTGGCCATGTTCTTAGTTGCATAAATTATTTAGTTTAAAAATTCTTTTAAAAAGGGGAAGGAAAAAATACCAATATTGACACCACTTTAATGCATGTTGATCATACGTACATTTATCTACGGCCGATGGTTGAACTGTTTTTCTCTCAATACAAAATTACGGTAGTGCACCGTTGTCACCAGCAGTACATGCGTTCAGTGAATGTTGTAGGTCCTCATTCATTAAGGTGTGACAATATTGGGCCTAACGTGACGCGTTTTTCTACATTGACGAGGTTTAGACGGTGCGTCACTTTTGAAGGTTGCAGTTATTCACAGTCAAAAGATAAATATCCATTCACGATCAAATGACCGTTGATGTAGTATGGCAATGGCGGCGTCCACGCTTATCAATTTCAGGTGACCTTTATCTTATCGTGAAGTTCCAAAGTTTCTCGCACTGTATACACAGTAATGGGCCTTTGGGGTAATCACACTGAGAAGTACCTTTCTTTAGAATTCAGCTTTGTACACTTTAAAGAGATTTGGACAAACAAAACTTATTAAAAGGACGAGCGGAAAAAAGTAAGAACGCCACTGACCGGGGAGCAAACACTTCAAGCCATCAAAGCCATCAAAGCCATCAACTGTTCCAACTGAAGTTTATTGTTCAATCAATTCTCCATTATTAAATACCCACGGTATTATTCGCCGAAGATAATAAGTAAAAGTGTTCAAGAAGCTACCCTGAGACCGTCACTACCACAAATTCGACTGTTTGAATTTTCGAATTTTGAGAATACATGTATACCTTCATTCGTATTGCCTTTAAAAGATTCAAAGCGAGAATTTACAAGGCCAACACTACCGAAAATGCAAATATTATACGGTTATTCTTTCTTTCCAGCCGCACATAGAAGCTACGGGGATGTTAAAGCTTATAAGGTCTCGTGAATCAAACTCCTTCTTCTTCTGGGATGGAAACAGCTGTTACTTTTTGAGCCTTGAGCGAGATAAATTGAATGATATCTGGTACACCGAGCTCTTTAAATTTACGAGAACATAATCTGAATCCTCGGCCTCCGTGCTGAAGACACTGTTGCTTTACCTCTTGATTCAGAGCGCTCTTTGCCGAATTACATAAGAGATGATTTGCACCAATACACTGTTTTGAGTGGATAAAACGGGCACAAAGGAATCATTCCAGAGATGGTGGTCGTTAAGCAAAAGCTTGCCCCGAATCACGAGGTACAGCAGTGTCTTTAGTCTCGGAAATTCCAACTGCTATGTTTGCCGTAATCAAATATCTCAGTGTACCAGATTTTTATTCAAATTTAACTCGCAAAAAGCTTATTCGTCGAGAAAGAAATAAGAAGCATCACTTATGACAAAACCCAGCACTAACATCACACACAAATTACTTCCCTTAGACGACCTTACTGGATTTTGAATATAAAATTGCGATCATCCCATAAGTACCCCTTCAAAAATCATTTTCAGTTTAGGCCTAGTTGTACACGTAGAGCCTAGTTTTCAGCCTACAAACTACGTTTGCTTTGACAAGATATGCTACAATAAAAAAACTGTAAGTACATTAAATACATGTCACTAGTGAATTCAAGGGTGCTAACAAGGGGCCATGTCCCTCCAAATCAGAATTTTTTTTTGGGGGGGGGAAGGGTATGAGTGGACTTTTGGTCATATCTGTTTCTCCCAAAGCATATGAAAAGCTCCTCAAATTCAGCAACACCCCCTATGGCAAGCCAAACGGTCACACTAGAAACCTTCACAGAAGAAAACTTTGGTTTTTAATCCGCCCTTGGTACACAGTGATACTTGACAACATTAAATGAAAAAAATGAACAATTTAAACACATGTATAAATAATATTTGGTAGTCTCATGGGCACACTTTTGATGTTTTTTTAGCATTTGGCAAGCAACAGTGAAATCTTACTAAAACAAATTCAACACAAAAAACGCCACATCTACAGTTGTTTCAGCCTGCGTAAAGAGCTTCATTGGAAAATTCCATCTTAATCTTGTAACAAATTGAGAGACATGTTGAACCACAAGACAACCATATTCTGAGATAAGGTCAAGGGCATTTGATTCAAATGTGGCACATGTGTAATACAGTTTATGCTCAGTGCACTGATACAAAATCTTTAAATAAAGAAATTCAATAAAGAAACTCAAGATGTGCTCTGAATATTGTTATGAATTCCCTTATGTTCTCCACTCTGCTGTCACTGGCAAATATCATCTTGTGCAATAATGGTGGATCAAACATTGACAACGTTTGCGTCAGAAGTTGTTCAAAACATGCGTCAAAAAGTCATGAAACATGGGGGATGGGAAAAAAGTAGTGAATATAAAGCAAAAGAAAAAAAAAGGTTACAGTTGAAATTATTTTCCTGAAGTGGTACAAAAACCTCCAACAGCAATTAACAAAAGGTCCACTGAAGCCCTATAACAACAAAAATCATAATCCAATGAGGAAAAAACCCATTATGAGCAGAAAACGACTGAATCTGGGGAAATATAATATGTAGGGAATATTGCAAATTCCAAATACACAGTACAAAGTTTTAAATGAACGTATGCAAAGGTGTGTTTTGTACCAGTCCCTTCCATGGTTACACCCCCTTTTTAGGGCCACGCCCAGTAGTCTGGTTATTTCCCCGTTTCAAAAATACCTTGCAGAGAACCAGTGAAAAAATCACCAAGCTTCCAACTATCAGGACGAACACACCCCTACCTCCGGGCTGTACTGCCTAGTCAAAGGGAAAAGCGAGTAACATCCAAATCATTATACATGTGTATTTCATCATGGAAAGCAGAGATTAAAATTTTTAAGGAAAAGCTGCCATGACAAACGGAATCCAACATCTTAAACATGCATTGTGGAACCTAGGCAATTGGATCCCAGGGTCAGAACTCGGCAGAAAATCAGCAATGTATTAATGATCCAAACCCTAAATGCTGAATTGTACGGTTTCTAAGTTTTCTTACCTTTAATTTATTGGCTATGTCCTCTGTCAAGTCGTCACTGAGGAAAGACAGAATTCATAATGAGATCACTGACGTAGAATTCAGTGTCAAAAAGTGGATGTGAATCACAGCGACACCAAAACTGATATTCACTATTCCGAAAAATTGCACATTTTGTCAAATTTGATGAAAGAAGCCCCATGAAGCCGGTTTGGAACTAATATTTACTTTTGCGCTTATTACAACCCCCCCCATTAATGCAGAGAACATGAACATAATAGCATCAGTGACATACTGAGTGTTGGGATTTCAGTTCCATTTCATCAAAGCAATATCCACATTCTTGGTCCCCAACACTTTTAGACTTCAACAGGACAGACAGACGGACTCCAGGCTAGGAAGCTTAAAACCGCTTGTTAAGATGCTTGAAATTCGTTATCAGGCCTTTTGAGGCACTACATGCTAACACTGGGTGCCCATTTCAGAGGGAGGGGGAGCAGCCGTTGTTCACACTTTTTTTTTCAAGGGGGCGCTGAAAGCAAGTTTTTTATTGGCTTGTGTGTGTACATGGACTTCCTTGAGAGCGGGGCACATGCCCCCCTGTAGTGATGCCATGAACTATAGGAGGGGGCATGAGAATGCATGTGAGGGTCTTTCTCACAATTCAGACTGGTATAAATCAAACTTCCAGTTTTCAAAACCTAGACCAGATATGCTGTAAAAATGTGGAAGACAGAAAGACAGGATATTGCTAACACCGTGCCTGGCCACTGTACAGTGTACAAGCAACCTTGCTGTAAGTACAAACAGTGACAAATCAGGGGGGGTGTGAGTGGCTACTCAAAATTAAAGCTGTAAAATAGCTAGCAGAAAGCTGAAGTGTAAGAAGTCCCCATACGCTTGAACACAGCAGGTGCACAAAAAAGCTGAAATTTAGGGTCAACATCAAAACAAACAAGCTGAAATCATCTAAGAAGCTGAAGTTTCATATCTCTGTAAATACATACAAAGAGGGCGTTTCACTTCTTGAATGCAATAATGGGGCTTCACTCACACTCTTGTCCACTCCCTAGGCACATTAATTGCTTTGTTGGCCTTATACCCAGTAGACAGCCACGTTTCCAGTCGGTCAGCAGGTCCAGTGAGCATCTTAGGGTGTATCCTATACATTCTCTGCCCCTTCATTCTGAGTTTAGAGCAGGACAGTAACTCATATCTCCATTCTCTTTCTTGAAATCAAAAGTTATGTGTGGCCACACTGAAGTAAATATACGTTTGTCAGCCCAGTCCGCTAATTCTTCACTGCAGGAGAACTTCCAATCTTTCTCTACAATTCAGGCAACATGACCCACATCTTGTTTTTTTTTTACAATTCACCACCTGAGCTATTGATCAAGCACAAAACAAAAGTCTCTTGGGTGTGTAGTGTATGTCACTCAAATACTGAAGATGTCTGTGGGTTTTGTACAACGTCATGTACACTCAAATTGATTCTGTCCCATTTTTGTTGTTATGAATTGACGTTAAAATGCAGTGACCAAGATAAAGCTGACAAGGATGATAAACAATATTTGTTTCTGAGGGCCACAATAAACCTAAATGACTTGCTGCAGATGAGACACATATCTTTGTTGAATGTTGCTGAAAGGCCAGTCACTTAAGTAGGAGCAACCAATGGAAATAGGGAATAGGTTGAAAGTGTTTTCTGAATTTCAACAGTTAGCAGGGAAATGCACCGATCAGACATTCCCATTTTGCGGCTCGAAATTGGCCACCGGGGGAAAAAAGGCCAGAACTTTCAAGGGTTCGCGTAGCTGAGATGTGTCTCTTGTCTGCAGCAAAGTCGGCCTTTGGGGGCGGGTACTCACAAAGGAGCCGGAGGAGGGAGGACGGGAGACCCCTGGACATGCTTGTAGGATTGCTCAGCGAAATGGGCGAGGGAGGCCACACCGTAGTGGAAGAGACCATAGGGGTACTGGTTGCCCTTGCGGAATCTATATGTATGACGGGGAGAAAGGGGAAGTGGCAGTGTTGAAGTCGAGGCCTCTCAAGACAAGCACAAGACCAACACAAGACCTCCAGCGTGAATTCAAGTCACACGCTATTCAGTCAGGTGGGCGCAGTGGTTCTTTCCTCGCCTTCTGCCTCAGCAATCAGGGTTCAAATCTGGGCTCGGACAACATGTGAATTGGGCTTTCAGTCCACACCTGACTTCATGGGTGTTACCCAGAATATTCCTCTGGGTTTTTCCTCCCATTTCTAAAACTGTAACTGCTTTTCATTGTCTCCTCTCTACAGATTTCTTCAGGCTTGCGAGCAACAATGCCAAGGGTGCTTTTGAGGAATCCTTGTGTCATTTCTAAAAATGATTAATGATAAAATGCAATGAAATCCAACCGAGGCATTCCTTTGTCATTTTTTTGCCCCGTTAGTTGTGACAGGTCTTGTGAATGGGTCTGCGCATGGTCTTTTGATGGTCTCAACCACAACATGGGGGGGGATAGGCAATGAAGGAACAAGATCACCGTGATTTCCTCTGTAACTGGCTAGACAACGTGTCGAGGTTGATTCAACCTTTGATTCAACTTTGATTAAACCAAAAGACAACTGAGCAACTCTGCATGCTGCAGTGGAAGCACTGAATGTGCCAGTGGCTGGGTTGGCCAAAAAGTGAGGATTCTGTTGTGTTTATTTCTGCGCGCAACCAGAGGGGCACACAGGCTGTCCAGTCAGTACGTAGAGATCAGTGAAAGATACCGGTACCCTGCAGAAATTCTACTCAAGTTGAGATCATGCTACATATACATGTACTTGTAAAATTCAAGGCGCTGCTACGTGTGCCTTGCCAGAAGAGCAGGTCAGGCTGCATCTGAGGCAAAAGCACACTGTATTAATTGCTACCTCTGTGCCTCTCACAAGTCCTTTCTCAGTACCATTCCTAAGTGGTGGGGGTGAGCAGTGACAATGGAATGCTTTTGTCATAGTTCATCTGGATGGTTTTGGCTTTGGCTTGAGATCAGGTAACTTGTGAGGGGCTTGACTCCCCGGCAAAGACAGCTCATGTCTCAACAGTGGACCACATAAACAGTGTGATGCCTGTAATGTGGCACTACACTTCTTGCTGAACTACATTTTAGCAGCTTTCACTTCTTTCCTGGGCTAGGGTAGCCTGATCCATGGGCGTCATGGATGGGGGAAAGAAGGATGCTTGCCCCTCCCCTCAAAGAAAAAAATTTTAAAATGAAACCCCCCCCCGAAAAAAAGGCCCCCAGAACAGAACAAATGAAAGACAAAAAAGCTTCAAAAAACTGAAAATTAAATCCCACTGTTAATAGGTTATCAATTCACTGCTGGTGAATGTTTTACCCCCCCCCTGAAATAAAAGTTCCCCCCACCAAAAAAATTCTGGCAACATCCGTGGTTTTATCGATGCTGCAGTGATGATGTTGGACCTCATCACTAGGAGGCATGAGCAGGGACAGGTTACAGATTGGAAACTTTTGTTTTCCGGCTTTCAGAAATGACAGGGAGATGTGGGTACTCAAGGGGGAGTTGAACCAGGCACAACACAGGCGAAAGGGGGGGGGCTGGACAACCACACCCAAAGAATCAACAAACATGCAAAGCTTAAGTCATGCAAAATGAAATCTCAGAAGCAATGCTCGGCTCAATAAAACGGAAGGCTGGATTATTCTAAATAAAACAAAAATACCACAAGTGAAAAGACAAATATTAGATTTCTTTCACGTTGACATTTGACAAGTGTTAATTAAAAACAAATTTGTTGAAAGAAATGACAAATTAATTCCTTCTGGGTTCATTTTGGAGGAAAAATTTGCATAATTACATATTGGGATTACACTTTGAGCAGTCGATCGTTTTAAAACAAATTTGTTTGGGCCTGCTAAAATACATATAATGTGACATACATTTAGCAACCACAAAACTGAGCATGTTTCCTGGCATTTATGTATCAATCAATCTTCACTTTCTTGTCAGGGATGTTGTGACAGGAAATCTTTCAAAATCCCAATAACATTGAAGGACTTCAAATGTGACACATCTACGGGACTGTTAGAATAAAATACTTACAACAGGACTGTTGGCGTTTTCTGTACAGCAATGTTAAATCTTTTCACGAGAGCTTTGTTAGTGGTTGTGTCGACGGTAGCAACATTGATTCTGTCTTTTAACCTGCAAAAATTTTAAATTACAGTAAAGTTTAATTTGACAAATCTGTACAAGGAAACTATATGTACATGTAAGTAAACTCCAATCACTTCTTAGTCATGAGAAAGAGTTTGGTATCCAATGTTTTTTCTGTAGATATGATAATGTTCCAGCAAATCAGAGACTCCGCTGGAGAATTGAACTGACAGTGTACGATTTCATGACAATGTCATAAACCAAATAACACATGAACTTTACCTGTAAGCCACTGTCTCCCATATCGTCTGTAATGCTACACATTGAGGTCTCTCTGGATCACAGCTGAAAGGCAACAAAGCATTATTTGATCACTTCAGCTTCTCAGGAATGACGTCTCTTCAAGTAACATGAGGCTTTAAAACATCACTTGGCAGTCTCTTGACCAAAACGGTGGTAATTCCACAAGTCAATACTAAAGGTACACACATTCAAGATAAGCACACTATCCCTTAGTCTCTCGGAATTCTTGCTGGGAATTTGTTTCAACCCTCTAAAGTCCCCGGCTGTGTGGGAAACCAACAGCACATTTTTGTACTTTCCACGGAGCACAAAGCAGTGGGTTCAAAATTCCTCAATCCTCCACAACGCTCCAAACTTTCCGGAGGCCTTCAAACAATCTACGGGGCTTAAGCTTAAGGGTTCTGGTGTCAGAGGTAGAGATTCTTTGAGATGTTTCTTTTTCTCTTTCAGCCATAAAGCCCTTTAAAAGAAACAAAAGATGAATTGACAAGATAATAAAAACATTCCACTTTAAAGCCAGCAGAAAATCTCAAGGGATGTAAGAAATCAAAGTGATCCATTTCAAATTAGCACTGAGACCAAAAGCCCTGTGTTCTATACTTTGAAGTGGAAACAAAAGGTCCCTCAAGTGCCACCGTACCAGCCTGACACCTAACACTTCAGTGATGAGTGGATGCATAGCTCTCTGCCAGAATGGCCTACCGGAAGGCTTGGCTTCCAATCTTACTTTTGGCTCCAGTTTTTTGTCGAGCAATGCACTTACAACTGGACGAGCCAGTCCCCCGTGGTGGCTCCTGTGGAGGCCTGGGTGAGGTGTTCAAAGTCCTTGTCATTCAGGAATCGGCCCTGGACCTCTCTGGTATTCTCGAGCCATGCCAGAATCTCTTCCACTTCATGGTGGCCTGTAAGAGACAAACAAGGAAAGCATGGTATATTCAGCAGTTGAACATCTCAAACATACTGCCAATGTGGTGTCTTAATGTAATGGGGGATGGTCCAATGACAGCACCCAGAACAACCCAAAAATAAAAGTGACACCTCATACACAACTCCCCGAGCTTTTTTGCTCAGAATCTTCCTAAATTCTAAAAAATCTGGTCATGCTGCAGAAAACTAATGGCATCCAGCCCCATTAGAGCTCCACATTCCTACAATCCTACAAAACCCTTCAAAACATAATTGAAGGATTTTGGAGGCTCAGGGAGACTCAGAAGGCACTGATCTTCAAGAGAATAAATACTACATACTGAAAAACCTAATCAACAATAACCCCCAATTTCAGATTCATTGTAAACAATGACAAAATGCAGCACACCCCTTTTTTCCTGCACAAAAATAAATTCAAATCTGATATGGGGATTCACAATAGCGCGCCTCCATGAGTTTATAATGCATTGGCCAATCACAATGCCTGAAATCTGTCAACTCTTTCCAAACGTGCATTGGGTCACCAGACTTTTCGCGCATTGTGATTGGGTAAGACATTACCAACTCTTGGAGGCCCGCTATTGCGAAATACCCGTGTTACCTACTCATCACAGAATTCCATGAATTCCAACTGCATATGTACATAAATGTTCCACAGTAAATGTACATGTGCCATCTCTCATTATGGAGGATCTTGACACTAATGTATACCGCATGCTATAGTCCGATTCACTGACACCATTACTGCCTTGTCCATGTCACTCAGGCGCGCATTCCTAAGCTTGACGAGTGCGTGATTTTGGTTAGCAGTGCGCTGCAATTGGTTGATGAGGAGGCATTCAATGTGCATCGCTTTTGTTCACCCGCCTGGGGACACCACAGTAATGGCTCCTGATTCTAGTGACCGGATACAGTCTACACATATCTAACCTCAAGGTGCACATTGGTAAATGTATGCCTGTCCTTGTTTTGTTTGCCCACAGGCACTGGGTGCAGGACTTGTACAAAAAATTGGCATAGAATGTACACTGTAACTGATTTGCATAAGTAGTGTACAGCTGAGTTCAATACCAACAGCTGTCACATTGCACATGTAAATTTTACGGGTGCTGACTGACTTCAATGCACAATAGTATATGTGGTCTCCATTCCAGTTGTCATTGACATGATATTTTTGACGACATACTCTTAATATAGGTAGTGTGAAATGCATCTAGTTTCAAAGACACAATACTTTGGAGATCTCTTCAGCTGATGTATAATACCGTAATATACAAAATGAACTTATACATACCTTCGTAGAGAATGGGGACTGTTTTCCTAAAAAAGACCAGTGATGGAAGTTTCTGGAAATCATAATGTTTGACAATGTCCAAGTTGTTGATGATCACTGCTGGAATGTCCAACTTCTCCTTTAACAGCTCTGTGTTGACTTGGTCGAAGATGGGTGCAAACTCCTTGCAATTCCTGCACCCTGGCCCAACTTGTTGGTTCAAATCAGGCAATGGGCAGAGAGAAAAGGAATTAAAAAAGATAAACGGCATTTGAATATGTGACTTGCTACACACAGACAAATTGAAACACAAAGATTTTACTTTGATGCCTGCAATTCAGGGTGCACAGATCACGTGCACAAAGGGCCCCAAAATTTGATCTTTTCTTGACACCAAAATAACAAAATTGACTTTCCAAAATGACAAGGCAGTTTCTTTCTTCAGGATGTTTATCCAGGAAGAATTATTGGACCATCACAAGTTTCAAACATCAACAATTTTTGAAAGGGATACCTGTTAATTTTCGCGGAATTTTAACAGGTAAAGTAGGTTTTTGTTTGGTGCTTATAACAGAAAAAAATTTGTGGTGGTCCAATATAAAATGTCTGATTCTTCCCACCTGTATATTTCCAGTCTCACTCAGTTAGGGAGTGGAAGAATAAGGGACCATTAAAGATGGTACATGTATGATGTATGGGATAATTAAGAGTGTGCCTTACATGTATTAAAATGTTGCTTGTTACTTGTCAGTGATTTGGTGTACAGTAGGTTGCTCTCATACGCAATGCACATTTCACATCAAAATTTCACATTCATGACAGTTTGAGGAATAACTGGGAGGACTGGAAAGCCAAATAATTCAAAGAGTAGTTCTGGTACACTGAACGCATGAACAGCTTGAGTCATTCCAGCCCTAATGCTCATGACATCTGGAGATTCACGATATTCTGATATCATGAGGCGTGTAATTGCGCCTCTGCTCAGAGAGGTGGAAACCATGTTCCACAACATACACAATGTTGAGACTGCAGGAGCTAGCCAGCAACACCAATCAAGATCAAGATGGCTTTTCCACCCCTTCCGAGCTGAGTGATGTTCCTGCAAGAGCTTGTCAGCTCTAGCATGAATTAAGATCAATGTGGCCCAAATTTCTATGGGAAGTATACATACATGTAAGGATCCGCAAAGCTGAAATTGAAATAACTGCTCATAATGGTGATAACCAACTAGTTTTTCCAACATGTCCAAGGCACATATAATGCGTAACCAATAGGGACCATGTGGGATACATGTGCAGTTACATGTAGCTCAGAAAAAAAATGGGTGGTAAGCCTATAATGTAACATTGCTTAGTGCATTATTTCAAAAGACTACATAACTGTTCATATGTGAGCACACTGATGTGAAATTTACAGTCACTGCTGGCAATATTTGGGATAAAATTTAAAAGATAACCAGGGCAAAATGTTGATTTAATCAACCACAACCACCGTTTCCTCTGAGCTGCATACATGTAGGAATTTTGTTCCTGTATATACAATTTCTTATTGTCCAAAATGCACAGTACATACAGGTCAGGGGCGTTGGCTGGGGGAGGGGGTGCAGATGCAGGGAGTAAGGAAGTTCCAAATTTCTATTTTTGATGGATCTCCGCTGTTGAGATACATGGTCGTGCTCTAATTGAAGGACCAAACTAAAGAAAAAAATTATTGGGAGAGGAGGGTAGAACGGCTAGCCCCTGCATTATTCCGTATGATTAGTTCACTCCCAATACTTAACATGGGAAATTCCGGACGCGGTCAACATACTCGATTTGTAATACTAACATGACTAAGCGTACATATGACCGGCTGGACCACATCTGTAGTAAGGAATTGGGATGCGGCCGCTTAGCTCACTGTGTACAGCAGGGAGCTTGGTGCGAATGATCAGTGGTAATGTTTTTGTGCATATCTTGACATGTGTAGCACACGTGCCTTCCTCGTTTAACTGTTGGAAGATGGAGTTCCGCTTTCATGAAAATCGCAATTGGGGCCAAACCACCCCTGCATGTACATGTACATGTAGATGTGCAAACTTGGCAAATGAAAAACAAGGTGCTAAGTTAGTTTTTGTGAGTCCAAACTTCAACACTGTCATGATTGTTCAAGTCGATGTTGAACGATCACGATCTATAAGATCTTACTGAAATTAACAAGGAGTAAGTCGCCCGCTTCCATCTTCCGTTCAAACGTCTCTGCACTTATTTCCTGAGCACCGATGACTTCATCACCTTGGCCAGCACAAGAAACGAAGCAATGAAATAGCAGATATGCCAACGTTAGTGCGAAGGAGCATTTGGATGAAGTACTGTCGCCTGCCATTTTCATCTTGTTTACTGAATAGCGGACAGGGCGACGCGACCGTGGACGGCCAAGGTTTAAAGCGCAAACACACAGATGCGTTTATGTGTGGTTTAAAGTGCACACGTGTCATTTGTGTAGCGCCCTCAAGAGCCCCTTTTCTGCAATTTTTTTTCTTGGTACAGGGATTGCTCTGCGTCGAGAACGCGTTTGTTTTCACGGCACGGCACGTCTTTGATAGTGACACTGACAGTGACATTAACTGTGAATAAATAGCAATAGCTTGTCCGTTTGTGTATATTTACCAGTGAGTAGGCTGTAAAAAGGACGTAACCCTTAATTTGCTCTTTACTGAAAACCTTTCTGAGAAAAGGTCGCTCACTGGCTTATTTTTTTACATTACCGTGTGGTTCACGAACATGCACGTTCATATTAGCCTAAACACCATACGAGCCCTAAATGCAGCTAAAATCGCAAAACAAATATCAAACATTGGGTTAATTGAAACACGAAGGTGTAACTTCAAAGATTTTTAGTAAAATATTTCATTGCATGGTCTCTGTAAGACGCGTCGGAATCATGACTTAGTGGCTAGGCCTGTCAGCACACGTTACTTCCAACCGTAGCCATAAATGTTGACCACGGTCTAAAGCTACTGTACGTCCCCGTTACGGCTGCCGCTGAGCCATTGGCTAGAAGTGCGGCTGTATCATAGAGCTGTATATAATCCTCAATGGTCTGCATAAACCTCAAGCCCTTACATGGACCCGTGCATAATACTACTACGTGTACATGAACATGTATTTACCTCAGACGGTTCACTCTCATTTCCCTGCGCCAGAAGACTCATGCGAACTACAGCCAACTTGGCTGTGATAAGTGATCTGCAACACTAATCCCCAACCACCATAGCCTCTTCGTCATTTGAGGGCAGCCAAGGTGACTCACTTAATTAAGTGTTTCATTTCCTTATTTGGATTTTTTTCATTTTTAGGGACAGGGTTGTTCATATGTTTTTTTTCAATTTACAACAGAATTGTCCAAAATATATTTCAAGAGACATTGGAATATCTGATACCCCCATTGTATCTCTGACGAATTTGTAATTTCTTTTGAGGCTAAGGGTAAAAATAATTAAAAACACCTCAAGAGCAGGTAATCTACCAATAACACCCTGATTTGCTCAATTAAGTCATGGAACGTCTCATTTGCTACGGGAATAATTAACTTTCCACCCACAAGGACACCGAGATTATTTGTTGATGCTTTAGGGTGATTTCCCCCCCAGAGTTGGCCTACGGACAACTGGCGTCCTATAACTATCGCTCATCGCAAAAGCGGCCCATCATAGTCATGCACTGACCCTGGACTCTTTTATTTAGTACTCGCTGTGAGTGAGGCTAAGCCGTATTAAAAAGTGCAGTCCAGAATGGTAACCGTGAGGGCGGTATTGAAAACCAAGATTGTGTCTGGGTGTGGGCGGGTCTTTGTAATTATGGGGGGGTGGCAGTTGGAACATTATGTAATTGGGCTTTGGAGTACATGTAGTGAACTTAGAACAAGACTCTCAAGTCTCCCTATATTGCTCGCGAAATCATACAGCACCTTCAGAAAGCCAGCCATCTCTTCCAGAGCTGTTTATATAGAGAGAGTTACGACACCAAAATGGTGGATTATGCGTCAGTGTACATGGACATTTCGCGCACAATAACTGCAGGCTGTACTGCAAACATAATGAACAGCCATGGTGATTTCAAAGTCTGAAGTTGGCGCTACTCTCTCTTTAGAGGCTTTGCGTGGGAGCCATCTTCCAGGGCAGGTCTTTTGTTCCACAGAGAAACCTCCATTTTGCATGCCCTGTGGAACAAAAGCTGTGGCCTGCAGGATGGCAGCTATGCAAGCCCTCTACATACAGCTCTGACACACCATTGTGTGTTAAAAAACACACCGAGCCGTTGCTTTTTGCTTGCCCCCTCACGAAAGCTATGGATACCCTCCATTTTCGGATGAAAGCCGACACCGCATCCCTACACTGTCCAGCTTTTTCGTGTTTCCCTAAGACGTAAATTTCAGCTGTGTCAACTGAGTTCCTCCGCGCGACCCAAAATCAACACTTTGATATTAGTCTGCCAGTGTTATTGCTTGTGAAAGGTTTTCTCGGACTAGGGATTTCTTCCATTTTGAGAGAAGATTGATTCAGGAGGCTGAAACGGTGGCAGCTGTTAATAACTTGAACTGGGGTGCTCGGTTTGAAAAGAGATTATTCAAGCGGTCTGCGGCATTTATCATTACACGTCTGGCTATGTTTAGCATCATGTTTCCCGCAGCTTGGTCTGTTTTTACTCGTGCTTATAAAACAGGTCAGTATGCCGAGACAGGCTAATCTGTAGTTTCAAGTTCCTTTCATACATAGCAAGCAATCCATTATTGCCTATCAAGAGGACTGCTCTCCTTCATCGCTAGCAATATTTCTTATTTCGTTTGGGGTAATTTTTGACTTTTCAGAAAATGAAAAGCGCAAGAATTTCTTAATCGGTGCCCGCCTAAAATTTTTTTATTTTTTTATTAATTTTTTGCAAACCCTCCAAATGAAAATGTTGGCCACTTTAATGGCAGGAATAAATTACAATTAGCCTATTCCCAGAACCTGCGAAATTTGTTTCATGTACATTTATGTTAATGATTATCACCAGGTTTTTATATTAACGCTGTATTAATCACTTTCATGCAATTGTACGAATGCGCCTTCGCTCGAGAAAATCGTAGCCTGTGTCACTTGTAACTAAAAACAGCAGTTGGTTTATCACCGTCAACATGCAGAATATGGAAAGTTACTTACTCAAATTGATACTTACTCAAATAGATGTTTCAAAGTTGACCCCTTTTGGTATATCTGTGAATAGGAAAATTAACGTGCAAAATATTTGGAATTATTGATCATCTATTTCTTTACAAAGCGACTTCGACAAAGACTTTCGTGAATTATACTTGTATATTAATCTACAAAAACTGTACAATTGCCTGACATGTAAATATCAGGCTGAAAATTAATCTGACCTCTCACTTCAGAAAATCGAAAATACAGAACGACCAGTGCAACTCGGTGTAATCGTACGCTACTGGAAAGTTACAGATTATTCATGATAGTCAATCAGTAAAAATTAAAACAGGTGTCCCAAATAAGTGTAGCAGTTTACAAAATGAAAAATCATAAACTTAATAAAATTTAGGAAAAAGAATTCAAGTTTATGTAACCTCTGCTTCCGACAGGAGCATTTCTTGGGATGTTTTCAGTTCAGAAATTATTTTTATATTACAAAAATTATGGAACACAATATAGGGCAGCCCCCCGTGAAACCCCTGCATTGGTAGGCCGCGCAGTTTTCCAGGAAGCTCGCTGCGTGACTTTTTATTTTCAACCCCCCATCGACGTGCCCATCACGGTCAGTCGCCCACAACATTTTGATTAATTGAGAGTGAAGACCGTAACATTAGGAACAAATTGGCCCATTGACCGTGAGGAGAGAATTTTAAAAGATGTCAAGGACTGTAATGATTCTGACATTACCGAAATAGTAGTCATGATGTGTCATTACTTTAACAAGAAATTCAACCCAATAATGTAAGCCCAAAGACCCACGCAATAAAAAAAGTTATCAGTCTCTATAAAATGTACCTTTCTTTCTATTTAAGACCATTTTTAACTTCATTATGTGATTTTAAGGGCCTTTTTGGTTGCCTGTTAGATACTACACTTGTCAAATTTGCGTATGTGCGATGAGTAGGAGATTTTGCCCGTCAAACGCCCCCAAAGTTACAATAGAGCCTGGAAGTTGACCCCTGGTGGCGCGTTTCCTTGGATAGGAAAAATAACGCGGAAAGGTTTTAGAATTTGTAATTTTTTCTCGTATTTTCGTACATTTACTTCTTAAAAAATCCAACTGGGAAAAAAGAGGCTTTGGAAAATATTTTCTAGTATATCAATTTATAGAAACTGAAAAATCACCTGACCTAAAAGAAAAAAATCCTGCCAAAAATTGACCCATGACTTCCGAAAATCTAAAATACTTGAAGAATAGTGCAATGCGGCAGTCTCGTACGCAGATGAACATTGAAATATTTGAAATTTTATGGTAGTCCGTTGGCAAAAACCGAAATAAAACAGATCAAAATATTTTCCACAGTCTTATAATTTATAAGTAGTAAACTTAAAGCAATATTCTACCTCAGTTACGAAAGATTCTACTTTATTTAATCTAACCTTTGCTGACAACAACTGCGTGATGTCAGCTCAACGGAATCTGGAATCCATCGACTGCAGGTAGGTAAATCTTTGCAACGTTGTACAATCTCGTTTTCACGTAAGCGAGGCAGTGAAGACAAACGTGCATGAACATGGAGGCCTAGCATCGCCGGAAGAGAAAGGTCGTTAAGAAAATTCCTTTTTTACTTATCTAAATTTAATTTTCCTAAATATTACTTGAGGAAGACAAAGGTAAAATTCCAACATGAGTGTTTCATGGGGTGGTTTCAGTTAGGAATTATTCTTCCAAAAATTATCGAACGTGATAGGACGGCCCAACGTAAAATCCCCATAGGAGGACCGCGCGAGGGTTCCGGAAGCTCGCTGCGCGACCTTTTACCTTCAGGCTCTCTAGGTGTTAGAACCAACGTTACCCAGAATTTGGCTATTTAACTGTCTTTGCTGTGGTAGTCAGTCGTTTTATTCACCACAAGCAGACCAATAAACAAAACTGAGCAATATTTCCAAGAAAAAAAATGAAGTCAGCGAATTTAGAGTTCACAGTTCCAACAGAAAACCTCAAATTAATGAAAAGTGCTTCCTACAATGACATCACAGCAAACAGCACCCTCCATAATTTAAATGCGCCAGGAAATGCAAGGGTAACTTTCAATTTTTGCAAAGGTTCAGTAAAGGATAAACCAAAGGGTACTGCATACCGTATAGTTTTCATACACTGGAGAGCGGAACTAGAAAGTTGAACAGAATATGTTTCCATGATAAAAGTGAGTCAAGGACATGACATGATTATCCAGTCGGCAGAGGAAGCACTGTGTCCAACGGGGCCTACCAATCATCAGGAAGTCTGCAGAAAAATCGGAGGGCCTACAAAAATACCCATTGTGCCCTGTGTCATAAAACACACAGCACACTCCATCACTCCATCGATTCCGGCGTTAAGGAGCTCCATTAAAGTACCTTGACCATAGGCCCTCCGAACTGCTGGTGTCTCAAAGGCCTCGTGCCTAGTACATGTGTGATAACGCCTATAAAGAACACGTAATCAGGCCCTGGTCCTCGGTTACAGTCTTTGTAGGCGGCCGTTTGGTTTGTCTGGCTCGCTGCCATTTACGATGTCAAAATCTTGAGAGAATCAGCACTTCCAGCGTACAGTCAATAAAAACATGAGCTAGAGATCCTACACTCAGGCGCGAGAGCTGTGCATCCCTTGTCCAAAGTGTCCCAACGTGCGCAAGAAATCGGTCTTCGATTAATAGGCTAAAACAAAACAAACCAACCCCTGTAAACAGGACAACTCTTGTCATTGTATCTGTTAAAAAAAGCCAAAATAAACACGGTCATGCACAAATATACAGGTGTAAAGTAAATATACAAGTGAAAGGTTTTGGTCTGCTAGGGGAAGATTTTCTTCTGGAGAGTGCACCCGGCAATGTCTACTTTTAATTAAAAAAAGAGTCGTCCAGTTCGGTTGGACCCTACCCGAAGGAGCATTTGCATGATTGGATTTGTCTCGGTCTATCGACCAAGGCATGCAACTGCCAAGAATCAAAGCCCAGCAACACAGAACTAATGATCGTTTGTCCAGAACAGCTGAGCTTTGTGAACAAGGCACCAAACAAGGGGCGTCCATAACTTCAATCATCACCTCAAATGGGCGAGAAATGTGTTCGCATACTTCGGGTGACCTTGGTATGACTTTGGCTTCATTTGAGGGCGTGGGGAAAATAACAAGCAATGCTCCTGATCGAATGTCCCGTTCCGAAAGAACTGGGGAGCTGAAATCAACGTGCCATTCTTGTTGGCATGAGGAACTTGTATAATGTGCCTGTGCACTTGCGCAATTATGCATGCTAAATTGTACGGACGGGGCAACATTAATGTTACAGAGCATGCTCAGACTTTTCAACAAGCGTCTAGTAGCCGCTGGCAATGTGTTTGCGTGGTGCAGGCATATTTTGAAAAATCATGTTGTTTATTTCTGTTAGTGAGAAATTGTCAAGCTTCAACTTTCAAGAGTAATCCTAGAGGATTTGTATTGGGGAAGTGTTGACGACCACTTGGGAAAAAATGAAAATAATTAAAGTGCTATTTTTAAGTTTTTCCCAAGCTGATCCTTCTAGTAAGAGAAAAATCAGATAAAATTCTATCTTCATTTTCCTGGTTAAATTGCTGTTATAAGTGCCATTTAAAACTTAAACTGAAAAAAGAAAGAACTTAGAACAATTAGAATAAAAAGAAATAGGCTTGCCTGAAAACTGTGAAGCGAAAACGATTTAAATACATGCTCTCAGGGTTTAAATACGGGTTTTTAAGTTTTCTGTCCGGAAAATGGATGTGCAAGCATGTGGCTAAAATTTGCTTCGGCGCCCAGGTCTGAGCAGTCTGGGAATGTGCGCAAGTGTCGCTGGGGATCCACAGCGCCGACATATGTTATTCTACTCCTTGGACACTGCGGATAGAGGTTTGCCATGCTATATGCTCGGCTGGCCAGCCGCAACGATTAAATGCGCGACAGAGTCAGATACCAGGTGGGCGAAACTAGGTGAGATGAGTCGACTGATCAGAGGCTATCACCGGTAAGCCCTGGACCAAGGGATATAAATGTACATGTGAATATACCCTGTTAGCACTCCCCCAGCAACAAACCCAGTCCGTTTTGGTCCTTCCTTCAGCTCACAGGTCCTCCGAGGATGTGTGCCTCCAGCACTGGCGGGAATTTCGTCACACATTAACACACTGGTCCCCCCCTCTCTCCGTCGCTTTCAGTTTGTAAAGTCCTATTCAGGGAGAAATTCACGAATACAAATTTGTAGGTATTAATCCCGGCATTGACAGTAACAAAGGTGAGCCATACAGCACGCACATTGTGAAGGCCTGCAGGGGTACGGTAACTCGACAGAGACTTTCGAAACCCCGTCATGGTTACGCACCGTGAACCACCGGCACGGAACAGAGCTACGCTGCCTCTTGCATCCAGTGCATATTACGTCTCTTCCGCCGCAACGCCTGGCTTGTTTTCTTTATGAAAATGACAGTCTGTGGCCGCACGGATCGGCGACTATGATTGATACTTAAGCAAATCCGTATATAGAATGCCAAATATACGATATTAGTTCATTTCGGTGTGGTACGGCTGTTGAGACTGTGAGGGAGTACCATGGCTCGACAGGACGGCTATAAATATGAGGTAAGCCGGGGACATTTGTCCCTACGTACGATTTGCGAAGTACGTTTGTTATCGTAGTATGGCCTTGCATGGTATATGTCAAGAACACGGGGCTTGAACTTGTGCCCCTTTATCTTTGCGAAGGGCAGGGGTGCCACCACCGAAACACCAAACTTTAACTTCAGTGAGTCTTTTTGACTGGAAAATGTGTTTACATTGAAGTTACGCTCCTTCTCCATTTCGGCGATGAGAGAGAGAGTTCGGTCGCTTCAAAGGGCATGCCGCGCGGGAAACAGGCAAGCCCGGGTCAGTTTCTTTTCAGCCTGTCAAGCTAAGCGCGTTTTATTTGGGTATTATTGTAGTGCGTTTGGCTGGACACAATACTAAAATCGTTTCCAAACTTGACAGTTAAATCGTGTTGCAGAAAGGCATGCATGCATTGCCAGGGCTTAGAAGAGAGGCAGACCAGGGGGGGGGGTCAAAGGAAAACACAGGGCCAATTGCTACCCCATGTTCTGCAAGGGGTAGTTCATTGGCTGTTTTGAAGGGACCTAGCTTGTTGGACCTTGCTCTACGGTTGGACCACATGGAGAATAAAAATTTCCCATGCTATAAACTAAACAAATGTGAAAAGCTCTACTCCTCGGTCCTGTGCCTTGCGCGTCCAGAAGAGCACTTGGTGTTCCTTCGTGTACTTAGGTGGTATAACTTCCCGCAGTTAGCCACCGTGAAATCTGAAATTGATGAATGTTACTGGACGTGGGAAAGAATTAAATGCTTACCAAATTTTCTGAATGGATTCTTTGTAAATCTCCCTTTGTTTTCTTTGTATTTGCTTCCCGTTACAATGTGCGTTGTACTGTCTTAAGCTCTCTGCACGGTTTGTGGCGGCAGTTGGGTTCAGATCCCAAAGTTGGGAGAGCTCTCCCAACTCTTAAGAGAAAATCCGTCTGCTGTTTGAAGTGTTTAGGTAATTATGTCGCCTTCCATGCAGTCCTCCGCGACCTGCTAAACAAATTTAGTCTGTAGAGGTATCTTTTTACGCCGCCAGGGATGCGTGGACGATTTATTTTAATTAAGCACGCTGCTTTATCGCTCCAAGTCAAGGGCGTTCCATCTCTGTCACTGGGACATTCCGGAAAAGCTATAGCTGTCTTATTAATACCGAGCGTTATTGCGTGCATCAGTCTAAACACTCGGGAATGGGGAAGGTTCGTATCTGGGCCTCTGACACGTATAAAGGAACTACCTCGAGGGGGCGGGGGAGGTCGGGGACCTTAACAAAGATGATGTGGTGAGTTATTTTTCCAGAGAGCCCGGACTCATATTGCCCACATCATCGGGCCGTAAGCCGCAGGGAACTGCCGTTTAATTTCCCTCTAAACTGTTGGACAGCAGTCAGGTTTGGCGATCGAACAGGCTAAGAAAATACGACTAGACGATGGCCAAGAGGGACTTCTCTTCCGACCACAATGTCTGCGTAGCTCGTTCGCGCACATTCCGGACGACCCATCGGTTCGTTCCAATCACAGCTCGGTGAAATCACTGTAAAATACCTTGTGAGAAATCCTTTCTCATATATACAGAAATAAAGACAGAAGTATAGATGATATGATTCAGTTCGTGGTTTCAGAAATTTGGCTTAAAGCTGTAATTATCAGATTCTGAAAGCTTGAAGGAGACATGGTCAGCAGTCTAAGAATTTCGTTATTGCGCTAGATGAGCTTATATCTGATCTGTGAAACATTCTGGCCCTCAGATTTCTTACCAAGCATGACATGGTGTGTTTACATAGTGGTAGAACCCAGGCTCTTTTTCCGTCGTAAAATTACATTTACATTTTGCTTATCCCTTTCTCTCTGAAACGTAGAGCGTATATTTTCTTCTCGCTAGGCGATCATGCATCTAGCTTCGACAGGCATACATGACGTAACGCTCAAAGTCTTTCTGATACTTCAGCAGTTTCTTCTACCTTCTGCCATAAGTCTGGTTTCTTTTTTTGTCTTTCTTCTGCTAAGCTTGGGCCTCCGTGGGTGCTCCATCATTATGTTTCAGGCAAGCAACATGCAAGTTGTTTTGTTCAACGCTGCCCTTTGGGGCGAATCGAATGGATGGACGAAGCCATCGGTATATGGGTGTGTGTGTGTGTGTCTCTCTCTCTCGAGGAGACAGAAAGTCTGTTCAAAAGATAGAAAAGGGATTTCAACCCGTAACTGCCTGCTCGCAGCCTAGAAACCCCAAACGCGTCCCTTGAACGAGTTTAAAAGTGTTGTGCAGCCAGCGTCGTGTCTAGCTTTTGGTGGAGGGGGGTGGATAACTTCAAAAGCGAATTCGGCTTCGGCATTATTCAGCATGATGTTGGGGGGAGAAAAATGTCAAAAGCCTTACTCAATAATCCGTCAGGGGAGGCAGGTTGCCCCCCTTGGATTCGCCACTGAGTGCAGCTCTGAAACGACCTTCATGCTATGCTCATCCAGTTCTGTAGGCAATAATATTGTCCTGGTCTTCATTATTAATGCTGTTAATCTGCAATCACATGTATTATAAAGAGTCGGAGCAGCCGTGATCCTCTATGTGTGCAACTGATATTAATATTGGAGGATTGAGGATAAGTAAAATATAAATTCACCAGTTGGGTAATTATCATAATACTTTCCTGGTTACAAATCAGTCTAAATGTATACATTCAGATGCATTTCATAATCACGTGCACTGAAACTAAAATTTATGGGACCCCATTGGCAGCCCAGTCTGGAGCAACCCTGGAATATCATGGCAGTCGCCCACTTCCTGCCGCAGTTGTGTCCATTGCTCAACGCAAATGGAAATGGAGCGATTTCTGTTTGTTCCTGCGCGAACAATAACATTGCTCTGTTGCCACGTGGAGGAAGTCACACTGCATGACTACTCCTTGTAAACAATAATGGGCAATCCGTTTTTGCTTTCAGTCCACTAATTCAAGGATGAGGTTGTCTTTTTTTAACATCCTTTTGTTCCAAGTTCTTGACTCTTCACAATGAAGGGACATTTTGTCCCCTCATCGGATGGCCTTAAGATTTGTGCACCGTGTATTTAAAGACGCGCGCGTTAGTTTTAGTTAATTCGTAAACAACTGTGATTGTCAACATACCCCATTTTATATAGACTAATTTGATTAGACGCAATAACTGCACCGCACTCACACGCACATTCCTCAGCTTGACGCTCGCGTGCATTTGGCAAATCACAACATCCTATCGGTTGAAGAGGCATGTAACCGCAGTAATGGCTCCCCATTCTGGTTGTCGAATTACACTATAGAATTCTTTATTACCGATGATTCGGAAAGGTTTCCAAGTTTATTTGCGTATCATATTCAGGTAATGATATCGTGACATCAGTCTACTGTAAGATCAAGCCTTTACTAATAACAATCATAGCATCACATGATTTACAAGGCGCACTGTAACTAACATCTGCCATTCAAAGGTGCCGATATATCTGCTGTTTGAGGCTCTTCAAGGCAGTGTCATCCGTGAATTTAATACAAATAATAATTACTAGTCGAAAAATAGTACACATATATTCTTCCAAAGTAGCAAATCATTATATGTGCCGTCGTTGTGTTGTCGTAGCTATTGTGAACAAACACGACACCTCGCGTCGTGCGTGGCGTCGTCTCGTCGCCCGTTGCGTCGTGCTGTCTTATTGTTCTTTCCATCTTGCAATTAGTGCCCCAACGTCGGTATACGATCCAAGGGAGCCGTCGTGCCGTCGCGTCGCGTCGTATAAATGCGTCGCCTATGGAATAGGCGAGGAGGTGTGGCATTAATAGTACACCATAAATCATGGACATGCTAAATATTATTTACCCTATGCTAAGAGCAAGACACTGTTTTTTTAAGGTCCACGTACACTGAACGACGCATAGTCTCTTGTGCCTGTCATATAAAGACAAAGCAGTATTACCAAACTTCGCCTAGAGGCTCGTTGCAAGCATGGGCCTACTCACTCTTTATGGGTACAAACTTTACTAATTGGATCTTCTGTGACAAAATTCAAGTGACAAAGTGACAAGTGGCAAAGTTTAACAAGTTAAACTTTGTCTCTGTATCAATATGTCACTTGCAGTACATTAAAAAGTAAAGACTTTTCGGCTACGTCCGTGTCATAACCGTGCAACTGGCGACAAAGTGTTACGTTGTTCACATGCCTATAAAGCTAGGTTCACACGTTCCGAATTATTTTACCACAAACATCTCGATCCACTGAGATTAAACATTCTTGATAACATCGGGGGAAAATGGCCCCGATTCTCGGTTCCTGAGATTAATTCAAGAACGAAGCAGTAGTAATCAAGAGCTGGGTAGAAATTCGAAACCGAATGATAGCGATATAGAGGAGAATACTAACGAATCTAAGCGATTTTGTCAAGAACAATACACGAATAACTCCAGAATCATCAAGACTGGCTCGGAATTACCCCTGAATTCGTCAAAAAATTTACAACAACGACCGACAAAGCCGATTGTATGATTTGACGATTCCCGAAACGTCCCAAACTATGTAAGTCGAGCTCATTCAGTTTTTGATACTTGGTTTAACAATTCAGCATGTATCTGGATTGCAAACACCACAACTTATTGTACGACACTAATAGAATGCTGTATAAGATTATCCAGAATTAGGTCCGAATACAATCGAAATAAAAACTAAGAACTGATAAACGGTTCCCGAATCAACTTCCGGATTTTCAACGATTTTCTTCCACCGAACTACCAAACTCATCCTGAGGCAGCCAAGGAACATTCCCCAATCTACTCAAGAATTGCTATTCGTGGTGAATCGGCTTAAAAATGGCAATAGGAATGTGTGAACCTTTTACATGTTCAAGTGAACAGCAGAATACGCTTCAAAATACAACAAAAATCAATGAAGCATTTTGTGGCATCCAATTTCAGATTATGCTGGGCCATTATGTTGCACTTAGAAAGGTCTCCAAACTGCTGCCGGTCGTCAGACCGGGTTAACATCCAGGTTAA